ACATTGACTCCCCTTTCTCAATCACCGGGGAAGGACTTTCTGAATTTTGAAATTTGTTGCTTTGTAGAGAACTCTTTTTTAAGATGATCAGTATAATGGGTTTGTTATTCCCGGTGTTTGTGGATGTTGGGATTGTTTTCTTCTCGAGTATAGAACTAAGAAGAGACTTTGGAACACCAGGAAGTTGGTTATAATTTGTTCAAACTTCCTTTCTGATTATGCAAGGGAGTACTTTTCGTACATCGGTCTGCCTTTGTACCCGGTGTACTTGTAGATTTTGACCATCACTATCGTAGGTGATATCAATACTTGTGTCCACAGTGGTTCGCTATGCTTACGAGGTTCTCACTGTTGTTATCCACAAGTGGTTTGTAGTCATTTGCAGGGGACCGGTTGTATCCACTACGAGCTTCTAGAAAATGTTTGCAGGAGATTCATTCTTTCTGCATCATATCCACTCTTTCACCAATCTCGGGTGGTTTGATTGTACTTATTTGACCTTGTAGGGATCGTCGTAGGAGATACTTGTACTTGTGCCCACAGTGGTTTGATATGCTTACGATATGCCCACTGTTGTTATCCACAAGCGACTTGTACATATTTGCGGGAACCCGTTGCAGCCACTACGAGCTCCTGAAACTGTTCGTAGGAGACCCATTGTTGCCTACATCATGCCCACCTGTCACCAATCTCAGGTGGTTTGAGGATTGTATTTCCTTGTAGAGGACGGACCTCCACTATTGATCTCCTGTATTGCCATCTCAATCAACAGGCATTTATAGGGATTGTCGTATGAGTTCGCGCATCGAGGTCTTGTAATTTAAGTTTCCTCGTGTGTGATCCAAGTTTCGACCTTTGCATGTACTGAATCCAAGTTCAATTTCATTCAAACTCGAATTCATTAAGTTTACAAATCCTCGCTTAATGTCGTATGGTCTGAGTTCGAGTACGAGTTCTGAGTCTTTGTCCAGACCAGATGCAAGATTGAGTCCCTTTGTGTTCTTGAAGGTTCAAGCTTTTACTCAAGTCCCCTACAGTCCGAGTCTTGTTCAAATTTTAGTGTGCTCCCCACTCAGTTCCTTTGAATTTGAGTCCGAATGTATGTTCAAATGATTATTCAAAGTCTTCCGGAGTATTTGCAGGTTCATTTTCATGTTCAGATTGACTTGAATTTGGGTTCCAATTCTTTTATCTGAATTTGACCTTTAATTAGTCATTTTGAGGTTTGTTCAATAGTCCAGGTCCACAATCCACAAGTCCCCTGTTCTTGTTCATCTGAATTCTACTTCTCGTTCCTTTGAGTTCAAAAGTCTAAGTGTGATCGTACATTCACCCGAAATTTCGGCAGCCTCCCGGCGCCTCCCTCGTTTAGGAGAAAACTACGGAAAAACTGGGCCTCCCGCCACGCTAGAGAAAAGTGTGCACGGTAGGTGCCCTCTTTCGAGGACACCGCGGTCGTAAAATCTTTATTCCCCCACCACGCCAGAGAAAGGCGTGCGTGGGTCTTCGGGCATCGGTTCGAAAATGAGCAGTTTATATTTGACCCCTTCTCGCCATAGGCATCGCACCGGGTTCCCTTCCCACCACGCTAGAGAAAAGCGTGCATGAGTTGGTTTTCCGGTCCGACACTAACGCCGAAAATGGAGTTTGTGATTACCCGCCCCGTCGCAAGCATCGCAACGAATTCCCTCCTACCACGCTAGATAAAAGCGTGCATAGGTGGTCATTTGCCGCGTTGCAAGCATCGGGAACAGAAATCTGAGTTTAGAAATTATATCTTCGGGACCGGCGGTGGATCGAGGCGGAAGAGGGTACGAGCATTCCATTTTTATTAATCTTAGTTAATTATAATTAATAATAATTAGATTTAATTAATTATAATTAATCATGATTAACAATTATTAATTAAAAAATAATATAATTAATTATGATTAAACTTAATTAATCATAATTAATAAGGAGATCGGGCTTGGCTCGGAAGAGGCGGAGGAGAGGGGAGCTCGATTGCTGGGTTCGGTCGGGTGAGAAGATCGGAGGGAGGAGCCGGAGAAGGAAGTTGTCTTCACAGAGGGCGACTCCCGTCGTTGCTTCCGATCCTAATGTCGTAACTTCCGATTGGTTAGAAAAGGGAAGGCGTCAGAGAGGCAAAGCAGAACGAGAGGGAACGGAGCGAGCGTGTGTAGAGGCCGAAGGCCTCATTCCCTTGGTCCTTTATCGACGCGAGGAGGAGATCGTGCGACGTGGGAGAAATGACCTTGATCGTGGCTTCGACGTACGACGAACGGCTCGACATGGGGAGCGACGTGGGAGAGCAGTGAGCAGGTAAGGATTTGATTTTTTTTTCTTTCTCTTTTTTTTTTTTTGCTGTAGGGGTCAACATAAGGAAAAAACTATTTTTGGTGAATATAATGAATAAAATAAGGAGGTTTATTATAGATTATTTCAAAAAGTGTAAGGAAGTTAGTTTGGGCTTCCAAAATTTGTTCCTCGTGCCCTTTGTTGGGAGAGTTTTGGAGAAGTTTCGGGTCAAATTTTAGAAGGTATTTTAGATTTAAGATATGACATCAGCTAGAGATTTTGACCTCATTTTAATAGTACTTATAATCTGGTTTTAGTTTCCTGTTGACTCAGGTCCTTATGGTTAATTACCTCTTCAGATAACAAGCAATTTTTTTTTTTTTAATTTAGATTAGTTGTTAAATATACATATATTAAGTATAAGTGTATGGTACTAGCATATTTAGTATTGGGATTTGAAATTTATATGTTGCACTTAAAGAGAATGGTGGGGGGAATGATGAGTGCACAATTAAGATTTCATGTTTCGTCATCTTGGATTTTCATAGCCTATAATCTAACTAGTCAGAGAGACACTTTACCTAATTTGACTGAAGGAACCTTGTTAGCATCCATGAGTCGTTTCATATAAAAAATCTTGTAGTTTATTTATTAAGGATTTTCATAGCCATTGGAGAACTTGTGAGCTCTAACAGTGATCGTAATTTAATGGTTCCTTTGTGTAGCAACATTATTATATCAAAGGGCATCGATCGTAACAATTCATTTGTGGTGATATTTGTTAGCAAAACCACTGATTTGAGGATACATGTCATGTCCTTACTAATGAAATGTTTTTAGAATGAATCGTAGTAATACACTTGATAAAATATTTGCTCTTTATAACTTTGCTTTTTAAAAAAAAAAAAAATTATCACTCGACAAATATATGCTGATGATGGATAAATTTTACTTTAAAATATTGATATAGATTTCACTTGGTATATTTTTTAGGATTTTTTTTTGTAATTTTATTGAGCTTTCATATTTTTTTGTAGGTGCGGCCCTAAAATTCTTTATATTAGGATTGTGGATGTTTCAGAAGATAGTCACCTCTAATTGAGATTCAATATCAACACATCCATCGTCGAGTTATTTGAAATCATTTGAAGTTAGTATATTTGTAACATGAAAGTTTGAGTTTTGAAAAGAGACTCTGTTTAAATGAGTCCATAGTCTGGGTGGCATTGAAGACACTTATATTTATAATAAGAAAATTAGATTTCGAGAATGAATCTCTCCAATTGAGATTTTTTTTTTTCAACGTGACCATTAACAAGGTTTTTGAATATATTATTCTTTATTGGAACCTTATCAACTTTTCCTGAGGTTTGCTTTCAAAATTAGCATCATAAATCACCGTGTAGGCAATGTTGCTACAAGAATTTGTATTTTGTAATGAATTTTTCTTGTAAAAGGTACTGAAGGCCTGATACAAATGTAAAACCAAATATCTTTGTTGATTTAATAGTTATATATTCATTTGCGAGGAAATAATTTATAGTGAATTATTTATGTCTACTATTCAGGTATCTTCTGTAAAATTTTAGTTTTGTCAGTTTTTCTGCTTGCAAGGATGATCAGATTCGAAATGTGGGGCTTATGATTCTACCTCGTAAATAATGCAGTTAGCTTGTTAGCGTGCGTATAATATTTATGCTTTGCCAGTTGAATTTTAAAGAGAGTTTGAATCATACTAATTACAATTTTTTTATTGCAAACATAGCAATAAGAAATGTAAAATTTTAGTTTTGTCAGTTTTTCTGCTTGCAAGGATGATCAGATTCGAAATGTGGGGCTTATGATTCTACCTCGTAAATAATGCAGTTAGCTTGTTAGCGTGCGTATAATATTTATGCTTTGCCAGTTGAATTTTAAAGAGAGTTTGAATCATAGCATTTCAAAAGATTTGTACGCATTTTGAGGTTGAATAAATTTGAATTTAGTTCGTCTTAATCTATCAACATTCTCAGACCTCTAATTTAGGGATTTGATAAATTGGTCGGAGCACATGCGGTTACTTCAATTCAAAAATATGATTTTATTTCACATTGATTTTATCCTTGCGTTATATTATCAGACTTTGTACTCAAGCATTTGGTGCGTTTGTTAGTGCACATGGGATTTTTTCTTGCTATTTAAATGGTGTGTACTTCTTTTGAAGAGCTTGCACGATGTTCTAGCATGCTTTTCGGTTCAATTACATGGAGCTTTCACATATTTTTAGATGAACTTGCACGTTCTTGGTGGGCCTACGCAATACACTGGCACATTTATTGGTGTATCTACTTAGCGTGTTTGCACATTTTTTCAGCATACATTATTTATTGCATTTTCTTATTTTTAAGTTAATTGAACATTTTTGGGGCAGCTACATGCTTCTAAAAATAATGGCATGCTTCTCCAAGTGGCAACACATTTCATGAAATGGCATCGCACTTTCTGAGGTTATGCAGAAAATTCATTTACTAATTACAATTTTTTTGTTGCAAACATAGCAATAAGAAAATTTGAAGAGGGCAATTTGTTTGTATGGGACGAAAATCATCTAAATCACTTCTAGAAAGTCCTTGCATCTTTCTGGTGATATGCTTTTACGATATTTTTTATTATGAATGGTTATAATTTATAATGTATTATGAGATGTTTGACAATTTAAACAGTATGCAGTCATGGAATTAAACAAATTGGAAGATAGCATTCAAGAGCGTTGGACCAGGAAGAAGCATGAGAGTTTTAACACTAGTATGTGTCTCTGCTTGGTTTCTTATTTTCTGGGTTTACAGTCTCTTCCTTGTTCTTTCTCACTTCTCCAATCACCCTCTTCTGAGTGTTTTTGCTAGTTTATTAAATATATTCTGTCCATGTTTTTTAATGTTTCTGCCTATATCATGTTGGCATCAAATGTATTATTTTGGAATTTGAAGGGAAGTTAGCTACCCTCCTCTTCTGTCTTAGCGTTCACCATATTTTATTAAGGGTATTAAAAAAACAGTTGGAACAGTATTATATCCTTTTTTTGGAAGACTATTTGCTTTCATCTCATGGGCAAAATTTAGTTCCATGGGTTACAGTATATTTATTGTGCTTATTATTTGTTGACCCTTCATCATCTGACTAAAATACTTTTTGTGTTAATGGCATCTAAGGTTTTCGGGAACACTGATCCCTCAATGAATTAAACTAGAATTAATATAAGGAGTGACAGTAAATGGGTGAAACCTTGCAATACTGCCAAGTCTCTTGAAAGGACCAGTGTACATGGTAGTTGGGAACGTAAATGTTCAGTTTTTTATGTCAGCTTGAGCCTTGTGCTCACTATTTGTAGTAGGCTAATGAGAGATTTCATTACCCAATGTTTTACATATCAATTTACTTGTTCAGACAGCCAAAGATGTTGAGGCCTCTAGCAGTCCAATGGACAGTTATCTGTTAAACATGTCATTTGTTTGACTTACTGCTAATGTTAAATGTTAGCTGTAGGAATGGGAATGAAACAGAGGTAAGCAGAAGGACAATAGATGCCTTTTAAAAGTGCTGTGGTGATTTCTTCGAACAATGCATATTCTGATTCAGCTTAGGTTTAGTTTTATTTTCATTAGTGTTTGGAATTTATGTGAAATTATCCTTTTGGAAAGCGATTTGGATAGTTCGGATAGAATAGGATTGAATTTAGCTTAGATTCCACCTTCTTGTTATTCATATTTCTATAAATAAGATAATTCTGCTTGTAATAAATTAATAAATTATTAATTGAAAATTATCATTTTATAGGGACTACCTTTCATTCTTAGTTCTTATTACCCACTCTTGCTCTGCTCCTTCTCTTGCCCTCAGGTCTCTATTTTCAGTATTTATTCCCCTTGGCTCTTTCATGTTACTACATGTTATCAATTGGTATTTGAGCCTAATGCATTGGTTCTTGATTCATTTCCTTGCTTCAATTCCATGACTACAGACGCTCACTTTCCATAGTTCTTTCTTTGTTACAATAATTGTAATGTGATATTCGCGTGGGTCAATATCTTCATTTTCTTTGACAACCACCACCCTTCCTCACTGCATGGGCCCCCACCGCTTTAGCATTTTGCCCCTCCTAAAATCGCCTCCTACTTTGTCATCCTTACTCTAGCGCATAGACTTCATGCCTCATGCTTGATTCATTAGGAACCCAACCAACTCTCCCGTGCGGCGTGTGCAAGCCCGTCATTATGATTGGACCCAATTCTCATGTGCTTGCTCTCTCATGCGCACCATTGTGGCTTGATTGCCTTCACAAAGATGTAGTTTTCACCTTGGCTCGCTGTTTCAATTCTACTATGTGATCCCTTACAAATTTTCAAGCTTGCCACTTGGTCACGTCCTGTGCATTTGACACTTTCTTTTCTTGCTAAGCTTCAATACTCTCCACTCCCAACTTGCATTTATAGCTCGTGTCCTTGAATTCACTTGCTATTAGCCTCCTCAATCTTTGCATGGATCGCATAAAGTTTTCACTTGTAACTCACAGTTGTTGCCCATTTCCTTGCATTCACTCGTTATTAGCTTTCATCATTGCTGCATAAGCTGCATCTTTTGATTACTCTCGCTCGCTTTGTTTATCCACACCATGTGTTCAAACTGGATCTCAGTTCACATTTGTAAACCCTATTACACTTTAACAGCACCTGCAAATCCACTTAAAGTTAATTAAAAAAAATGTTTGTTTCATTTACTTAACAATAAATTTGAATTTGAGTCAATTCAATTAGTAGCATGAAGATTTTTAGGCGTCTAGAGTTATCTGTGTTGAGTTTTGTTGATGTTCTGGATTATTTATAGCAATGCTCTTCTACTGCAATTCATGATTTGGGATATTTTCCCTTTCATCTCTTTAGCGCTAGATGCATTTTCCATTCGTCTCTCTACTTCAACTTAAATTTTCCATTAGCTGTCTGCTTAGGAATAAATATTGTATGGATGTTAGTATAGTTGTTGTGTTTCAAATTTTCATCCAACAATATTCCAATTCCTTTGGAGAAGAGTTTTTTCAACCTAGGGGAATTGATGCAGTGTAGGTTAAATTTATTTTCATTAGTATTTTGAATTTATTTATAACTATCCTTTTGGGATGATTATTGGGATTGTGATAAGATAATTTATTTAAAATTATCTTATTATTTGTTATCCCTATTTGTATAAATAAGGTAAATTTTTTTGTAATAAATCAATGAATTATTGAATGATATTATATATACTTCAATTTCTTTATTATTCTCTCATTGAGTTCTCGTTTCTTGCACTGGATTTTCACCTCTCAGTGGTCGTTTCTCTTCCCTCTCATCTTGTAGCTACTCTATCAGCCTCTTTCTGGAATTAGTAGTAATTGTATGCAGAAACATTTGTTTGTATGATTTTTTTTTTGACAGTCCCATTTGCAAAGATGCTGTCTTCTATTCTTATTTTATTTTTTTACTTATTTTCTTTTCTGTCAAATTTTGAAGAGCTTCCTTTAACATTTTATCTTGATTACTATAGTGCTTCTATTGTCACATTTAAGCTTCTCAATTTTGAATTCAGAACGTTCCATCGGTGACAATTCAGGAAGCTTTGCATACCCAAAAAATGCATTTGATGGTTCTAGAAAAGATATGAATGCTGCGATTGATAGAATTTGTGAGTTCATTGGTAAGTCATTACATGATCAACACCATTTTATTAAATTCAATTTGAATTTATGCCCATTAAAGTGGGAAGACATTTATTTCTTTTGCATTTTATTGGAGTATTTCAATTTCGTATACATGTCACTGAAAATTTTCTATACAACTGATTTGATATCAGACCTCATATACACTCAAGCCACCCAAATCACCCTACTTTATGCAGTTTAATCTTACTGCAGGACGTGGCAACATCTAATCATCCATTAATTATAACAAAAGGTGCATAAACTTTAGAAGTTAATTCCTTCGTACCTCATATGTCCGGCAGTGGTCAATAGTGGTCTATTGGCGCTGGCCATCAATGGTGCGATGACTGGTGATGACCAACTACAATCCAATAGTGGCTAGTAGTGATGCAGCCCATATGTATCGTCCTATGGCTTGTGGGGTGTGCACTGGCGGGGGAAAGAATGATTAAACTAAGTGTTTGAAATCTTGGAAAGAATTTAGTGTGATGCTATTTTTGTGAGAAGAATTTAACATGTGTGGGAATTTGCAGGTGTCAAAAAGTTTGGGTGAAATGAAATAAATATGAAGGTTTGGATGCTATATATCACATACAAAGATTTCAGTGACATGAGCATAGATCCCCTTATTTTATGGTTTTCTTATCTTAATTCTCATTTAGTTTCTTTGCTTGGTCAAGACATTACTTATTTGAAAATTTAAAAGCTAGTTGTAGTTCTCATTCCATCACTTACGATGCAGTAAATCTTCACCTTTGTATCAGTTCAATCCAAGCTTTAATATTTACTACTATAGAGCATAAATGAAGTGGTAGAGCATAAATGAAGTGGCACATATCATTTGGCTAAGAAGTCGTGTTATATGAAGAAACCATTAGCATATATTTAGTATTTATTAAATGGATATTTACTCCTTTTTAGTCTCTGCATACTTTTGTTTTTGGCAGGAATGAAGATAATCTTCTGGGATTTGAGGGAGCATTTTATAAGCAACTTATACAGGCCTAATGTGTCAGAATCCAGGCTAGAGTTGCTCATGGAATCTTTTGATTTGGTAAATAATGTGATAACCTTCTCAATATTTATTGAAATCTGTGAAAATCTAAATAAAATTATTTAAAATTGCTTTATGTTTCTTTTATTGAAGTTTCAAATTTGTTTTTCAAGTTGAACAGCCATTTCCTATATTCTCTGTATTTAACATAGATATATTGATGACATAAAATCCTCTCTTTGATCTCCACATTGCTCCAAAACCCAAATTGATCGAATGCAATGAAGATGACATCATGGTTTAAAATTGCGCAATATGAGGCTCGCCTTTGCGCAATTCCAGTAAAAAACGCTTTCTTTGCTTGGTCAAGACATTACTTATTTGAAAATTTAAAAGCTAGTTGTAGTTCTCATTCCATCACTTACGATGCAGTAAATCTTCACCTTTGTATCAGTTCAATCCAAGCTTTAATATTTACTACTATAGAGCATAAATGAAGTGGTAGAGTATAAATGAAGTGGCACATATCATTTGGCTAAGAAGTCGTGTTATATGAAGAAACCATTAGCATATATTTAGTTTTTATTAAATGGATATTTACTCCTTTTTAGTCTCTGCATACTTTTGTTTTTAGCAGGAATGAAGATAATCTTCTGGGATTTGAGGGAGCATTTTATAAGCAACTTATACAGGCCTAGTGTGTCAGAATCCAGGCTAGAATTGCTCATGGAATCTTTTGATTTGGTAAATAATGTGATAACCTTTTCAATATTTTTTGAAATCTGTGAAAATCTAAATAAAATTATTTAAAATTGCTTTATGTTTCTTTTATTGGAGTTTCAAATTTGTTTTTCAAGTTGAACAGCCATTTCCTATATTCTCTGTATTTAACATAGATATATTGATGACATAAAATCCTCTCTTTGATCTCCACATTGCTCCAAAACCCAAATATCTTATGCTTTTTTATGTTTTATATCATTCACTTATTATTATATAAAAAATTATTATTTTATGTTTACGCAATCTTTTGATTTTGAGGCTTACGCCTCAAAACGCCTTGAAGCTTACGCCTCAAAACGCCTTGAGGCTTACGCCTCGCCTCACGAATGAAAAACGCTTCAATACCCGAATACACAATTTTAAACATTGGATGACATACAACAAAAAAAATTTCAAAATAGTCTCCAGACTATTCATGTGTGGCCAATTTAATCCCAAAGTATCACATTGTTCTAATTTAGTCATTGACCATTTGAAATTGATCTAAAATGATCTCTCATATTATAATTTTGATATAAAATTGATCGTAATTTAGCCTCTCAACTATATTGATCTCAATTTAGTCCATAAGTTGTTTCAATTTTGTATAATCAAAGGACTAAATTGGAGCAATGTTATACTTCTGGACTAATTTGGCCAATATGAGTAGTTGAGGGACTATTTTGAAGTTTATTCTGCAATAAAAATTGTTAAGTCCTTTTTGCAAAGCGGACTATATTGTTACATCTGAAACATAAAAAATACATGAGAAGAACATTAATATTGCTCACGCTCTCGTTTCTAGATCTTGTTTCTCATAATCCACTGAACACCCTTCCCCTGCAACTGTCTCCCTCTATTTTCCTCCATGACATACAACAGCTCATTCGATTTCCTACTAACCATCTCTCCCATGCCCTCAATTGCTCCTACTCATGTGCTTCCCAGACCGGCTAGCTACCTCCTCCTCACAGCTACAGTTTATTTGTGGTCCCTCTTCAACCCTGGTAAGCACAATCCCCCTTGAAAACCATTTTGTGGCGTCCCCCCCCCCCCCCCTTCAAAAAAAAAAAGGGATAAAAAATGTGAGGTAATCATGGTGGGGGCTCAAAGGCATCGAAGAGATTGCGGTGTGTGAATAAGGAAGGAGAGGAATTTAAGATTATTCAGGATTTAAAATTTTGATTTTGTTGTTTGGTAGATTTTAAGTTAAATCTTGCTCGGATCCTACTATCAAATAGCTTCCAACTACAACAATCTTCTCGTCCAAATTTATTGCCGATCAACACTACCTCTCTTTCTCTTTCTTTGTTTCTCTGTTATTTCTAGCTCAATAAATCTAGTTGTGAGTGGCTTGGTATGCTTTGTTTATGCTGCTTATGATGAAGACATCGACAAGAGGTTTCAACGCGTTTATCAGAGACGACACAGGAGATCGATGGCCATGATGGAGAGTCTTTACTTTTGATGCATTTTCTGTATTAGTATTTTATGTATTAATCATTTTATTTCAGTTTTTCTGTTTTTTTCCCTTCTGGGTAGTTGGTCGCTATTGTAGCCCAAGGGGCATTGTAGTCTTTTGTTTTATTTGTCATTTTGAGGGCTATATATATGGTCATTTTCTTATGTATGAGGATGATGAATATTTTGAATAAAATTTTGTTGTTTGTCTTCTTCTTCATCTTGTGTGTGCACTAGAGAGAAGAGAGAGAGCCCGAGGTAAGGGCGAGCACAATACCCAAAAGTCATTGGAAGAGTCCGTGACTCGTGGTCTACCCCCTTCATCCCCGTTCTTCTTTTCTTCCCTCACCCGCCGGCCATAGCTTTTCCCCCAAGCTGCCAGCCACATATCCTCCCCCTTATCCCCCACATCCTTTCACCCCTAGCTTCCCCACTTCAAATCCAACCTCCACCAAAACCACCTAGACCCGACGTCAAGCTCTTCCCCCTCCCCTTAGCCACCGGCCATCATCCTTGGTCTTAGTCGTTATGATGATTTCATCCTTCATAATGATTCTCCCTTAATTTAGATCTTGCATCAAAGAAAGGAGTTAGTGAATTTTGAAATTCAAAATTTAAAATTCAAAAACTTTCCTTATTTGCAAAGTCTAAATAAGCAAGTTTTTTTTAATTCAAAATTCAAACGGAATTTGATTGGATGACTCATTATTTTCCCCCCACAATATTCCAACTCATTTGGAAAGTGATTAAATCTCCCTAATTCCTCCTCTCCCTCTCTCATGCCGCCGGCCCTACTAGGGAGGAATTCCCTTTAATGCATTAGTTACACTTGATTCAAAAATCCAAATTCAAATTAGCCTCCCTCCAAATTTACTCAAATCTGAAATTAATTTCAGATTTTGATTAAATCTCTTCAACACCCCATCCTAACCTAACTTCTACCAAACCCTAGCCTCCTCCCCACCTCTCCTAGCCGTCCCTCCTCCCCTTCTTATCAATTCACCATGTATGGAGGAACTCGAATGGAACTTTGGATTTGTGCATGACGATCGAGATCAAGTCGACATCCTCCAATCGCCATTCTTTGACGTGGGCTTTGATTTCGACGACACTGTTGAAGAATACATCGACTGTATCCAATACACCTTAGTTGACGTGATCGACGAGCAAAGGTCAAAGGGATGTTGGATCATCATTGGACGACCATCTTCCTCCACCACTCCGGCCACCTTTGCAAGAACGACGATCCTAGGTTCCTTCTTCCTCGGAGTGACCTCGATTCTAATGTGGAGACTCTTCTTCCGCTAAAGCTTAGACTATTTGAGCGTATGAGCTCCAAAGGTGAAAGCTTCCATTATTAAATCGTGGATTCTTGTTTACCGTCGTAGCTTTACAATTACTCTTTGCATTTTCTTGAATTGTTTAGTTAATCGACTTCGCTCTTCTTTGCCTAAGAAAGTTAAAGACTAAGAACTCCGAGGATCATTCCGTGTTATAAGTAATAACTTTATTTTGGGAATACTTTGCTAAATTGCTCTCTTTAATTTCTTAAGTAACTCCTATCGTTCCACATCATCTTGGTATCAGAGCATGGTAGGCATGCATGACATGTTTAGAAAAACATCATAGGGTCTAGCCTTTCGTTATAGCTTAAATATTGCATGCATATCATTGCGTAGTTAAATTTTATTCACTGTTTACATTGCTGTCCTTGCATTTCCTGCACGCATTTAGTGGAGTTAAGTCATTCTAGCTAGTGTCTTAGTGCTGCCCTTAAATCCATATCGATTCTAAGTGCGTAGGACAACTACATCCTTGATATAAACTGCTGTCCTCACTGTTCCAGCAACATTTAGGCACCTTTTAGTGAACTTAATGTTGTGTCTAGGCGCTGTCTTCACCCTAGTGGTACCCCCATAACATCTAGACGACTTAAGCCACTGTTTAGTTTGCTGTCCTGAAATTTCCTGCTGCTGATAGTCACTTTTTAGTAAGCATTTCGTTGCGTTTAAGTGCTTTCCACACTCTCTAAGCCCTCCAAAACACTTAGACAACTTTATGTCATGTTGTAGTTTGCTGTCCACATCATTCCTGCACACATCTAGCGAACTGTAGGCTAGTTTCTTTAAGTGTTTAGGTGTTGTTCTCAACCTAACAACCTTCCTAAGTGCTTAGGTTACTTAATCCACTAGTGTAGCTTGCTGTCATTCAATATCTGCACCCTTTAATGAGCTTAAGTGAGCTTAACTTAGTGTCTCAATGATGTCCCTTACACCCAATCACCTCTGAGTGTCACTTGGCGCTTCTTAATGGACCCGATTAGATTTCAAAAGAAGTTAGATGACCTAGTTAGTCTTGTAGGCTCTCTAACTAACACCACAAAGGAGGAACATGTTGACTCTCCCCACCCTAAGTACGTGCCTCATTTGGTCAATTATGCTAGTCGGAAGATGTACCACTCGACTTATCAACCTAGACCTGAGCCTAAGCCTCAACGACCTCACTTAGAGTCACCTTACAGTCTACCCACCTTTGATGGTTCCTCAAACCCTTACTACTTTAGGGAATGTGTTAGACAATTAGAGGACTATTTTTAATCACGTCATATCCCCGAGTCTCACTAGGTTGACATCGCTAAGTCTCACCTAAAAGGTCGGGCTCTTTAATTTTGGATGAGATTGGAAGATCATAAGGAGTCTCGCGGTGAGTACCCTACTTGAAAAGACATGAGGCGAGAACTTAATTTAAAATACCGACCCTCTACCAGTGACCGCCATCTAGAGCACCAGCCTACCTTCTTTGTTGGAACAAACTGTGGACATTACTGTGGTCGAGACCACCCATCTTTTAGTAACATCAGGGTTGCTGCCCCACCCTGTAGGTCTTCACCTAACCTTGATGGCCGACCCTTTATAGGGTCTTCTGTTGGATCGGTCCCATATGACTCCCCACTTGGGCCGACTCCTAGCCATCCCATTCAACCTTTAGCCTCCCCAGTCCTTGACCCTACCAGTGTCATTTTAACCAAAAAATGCATTACAAAGAAAAAGTCCCCTGAACCCGAAACTGAGTACATCCATTTCGTGGATACTAAGGATATTATTGAGAACGAGGATTTCTTTGAGGATGAAACTGAACTGAGTGATTTAGACTCCATGCAGGACTTAAACCCTGAGCTAGGAAAGTTGGAACATTTAAACGTCGACACCTTAGCCCACCCTGATCCTAGTCTCCTTGAGGATAATTCTTTAGATAAGATTTTCCTGGATGATATTAACTTGATCTCGAAAGGAGCTGATCTGGCTGTGAACACCACGAACTTAAATTCGAAAGTTTTTGACTTAATTATACCTCCTATTGAGAATATTAGTATGAATTTGGAAGACAGTGATTTGAGTTTGAAAGTTTCTGAGCCTAAGTTGAATAATGAGTCTCCTCTTGCTTTATTGGAGTCTGTTTTAGGAGTTGCTCCTCTAGATTTACGTGTGAGCGAGTGTGTCTTTCTTGATTGGACTTATATATCCATTCTTCATACCAACCTTAATGTTAGACACAATGTTAGCCCATACTCTCTTGACATCTTCCCAACTGTTGTTCCCACTTTTGTTCTAGACACTCTACCCCATCTTGGGAGTCTCATACCTATTGGCGACTCTTTGGGCTATCCCCTTATGGACGTGAGTCAGGACCCATCCTCTTATCTTGTTCTTGATTCATTCATTTTGCCTTTTATGTTCTTATCCTTCCCTGTCAAGGACCGTCTCTCTCCTAATGGGATGAATTTACTAAATGACATCGTTGACCCTAGGAGACTACCTACGACCTTAACTGAAACTTCCTATAGAAGTGCCCTGATAGCTAAGGATGTCTTCATTGCTCCTCCTACACCAGTTCCCTTAGAACCGAACACTTTAGACCCCCTCTTTTCGTGACTTGCCCACCTTTTTTTCTAGCCATGTGTTTGTGTGAGTTAGTATATTGTGTGTGTGTTTTGTAGTATGTTGTCTCCCTAAATTATCTGTCTAAAACTTTTGTGTGAGCTCATGATTCTTATCATTCATCATGCACACCCGGTCTCTTGCATCCACATTTGCTTCTCATCTCCAGGAGAGTTACATACTGAGATTAAAAAGAAAATTGAACAAAGTAACACCAATTATAAAATTATTGCTGATAACAAAAGAAGGTTCAAAGAATTCAAAGTTGGAGACTTCGTGATGGTACAGGTCTGCCTGGAGCGTTTTCCTCCTGGCACTCTAAAGAAGCTGCATGCTCGAGGCGCTGGACCGTTTAAGATAATCTCAAATGTTAATAGTAATGCCTACGTACTGGACCTCCCTAGAGGTTTTAACATGAATCCTACATTTAATATAGAAGATCTAGTAGCCTTTGAAGGACTTGAATTTAACCCCCAAAATTCACTCCATAATCAGCCTTGTGTGACCCCACCTAGTGAGATCCCCAACCTAGCTCAATTCCCCAATTTACCTTACTCACCCATAACGGAGAAGATCGAAGCAATTCTAGATGATGAGATTATTTCCACAAAGGAAGGAGGGCGCCGAAGGTGCCTAGTTCTTGGAAAAGAACACCGGAAACAGAGGACACATGAATTGATCGAGAGGAGCTACAGAGATTGGATCCAAACCTTCTAAAGCTATACGAGAGCTTCCACAGTCCTCACTCGACACGGTCGAGTTTTCTCCCACCCGGGGAGAATGATGGGGACATCGACAAGAGGTTTCGACGTGTTTATCAGAGGTGACACAGAAGATCGATGGCCATGATGGAGAGTCTTTACTTTTGATGCATTTTCTGTATTAGCATTTTATGTATTGATCATTTTATTTTAGTTTTTCCTTTTTTTCCCTTATGGGTAGTTGGTCGCTATTGTAGCCCAAGGGGTATTCTAGTCTTTTGTTTTATTTGTCATTTTGAGGCCTATATATATGACCATTTTCTTATGTATGAGGATGATGAATATTTTAAATAAAATTTTGTTGTTTGTCTTCTTCTTCATCTTGTGTGTGCACTAGAGAGAAAAGAGAGCCCGAGGTAAGGGCGAGCACAATACCCACCAGTCATTGGAAGAGTCCGTGACTCGTGATCTACCCCCTTCATCCCCGTTCTTCTTTTCTTCCCTCACCCGCCGGCCATAGCTTTTCCCCCAAGCCGCCAGCCACATATCCTCCCCCTTATCCCCCACATCCTTTCACCCCTAGCTTCCCCACTTCAAATCCAACCTCCACCAAAACCACCTAGACCCGACGGCAAGCTCTTCCCCCTCCCTTAGCCACCGGCCATCATCCTTGGTCTTAGTCGTTATGATGATTTCATCCTTCATAATGATTCTCCCTTAATTTAGATCTTGCATCAAAGAAAGGAGTTAGTGAATTTTGAAATTCAAAATTTAAAATTAAAAAACTTTCCTTATTTGCAAAGTCTAAATAAGGAAGTTTTTTTTTAATTCAAAATTCAAATGGAATTTGATTGGATGACTCATTATTTTCCCCCCACATTATTCCAACTCATTTGGAAAGTGATTAAATCTCCCTAATTCCTCCTCTCATCCCACATGCCACCGGCCCTACCAGGGAGGAATTCCCATTAATGTTACTTTAATGCATTAGTTACACTTGATTCAAAAATCCAAATCCAAATTCAAATTAGCCTCCCTCCAAATTTACTCAAATCTGAAATTAATTTCAGATTTTGATTAAATCTCTTCAACACCCCATCCTATCCTAACTTCTACCAAGACCCTAGCCTCCTCCCCACCTCTCCTAGCGGCACCTCCTCCCCCTCCTCTCAATTCACCATGTATGGAGGAACCCAAATGGAACTTTGGATTTATGCATGACGATCGACATCCTCCAATCGCCATTCTTTGACGTGGGCTTTGATTTCGACGACACCGTTGAAGAATACATCGACCGTATCCAATACAGCTTAGTTGACGTGATCGACGAGCAAAGGTCAAAGGGACGTTGGATCATCATTGGACGACCATCTTCCTCCACCACTCCGGCCACCTTTCCAAGAACGACGATCCTATGTTCCTTCTTCCTCGGAGTGACCTCAATTCTAATGTGGAGACTCTTCTTCCGCTAAAGCCTAGACTATTTGAGTGTATGGGCTCCAAAGGTGAAAGCTCCCATTATTAAATCGTGGATTCTTGTTTACTGTCGTAGTTTTACAATTACTCTTTGCATTTTCTTGAATTGTTTGGTTAATCGACTTCACTCTTCTTTGCTTAAGAAAGTTAAAGACTAAGAACTCCGAGGATCATTCCGTGTTATAAGTAATAACTTTATTTTGGGAATATTTTGTTAAATTGCTCTCTTTAATTTCTTAAGTAACTCCTATCATTCCACATCAGCTTAGGTTTACTTGCATCCCAAGTACTCACTTGCTAAATCATATCTTTCTTAGAAAATTTTGAGTTGAACTCCTACATCCGCTGAGAGAGAATACTGAATCAAAGCTTTGTTGAGGTGCACCTACGCTGTTATATTTCCAACCACTGATCTAGTTATTCTAAAGGACGTGATCTAAGGAATTTTATGTTTTTGGTGGCTCATGGACTTCTAAGGATTTACATCTTAAGACAACGATCTCCTAACTTAGTTTAGTGAAATATGTAGGCATTTGAGATGTGGTTGGTTGAAGTACTGGTTTTTGCAATCAATATAAATGGAAGCCAAATTTTTAAAAAGAATTACATTCCAAAGGGTTGGTTCATTTTTAGACATGTTAGGTTTGTTTTTCTCCTCTTTTCGGGGGCAATGCCCTAGCTCCTTGTATTTTCTTTGAAAGTTATTACTTGCAATCGATAATAGCCTGGTAGACTTTAGTGGATTATCTATTGAAATGGATGTTGTTTAGAAAGAAGTAAAAAAATTGCCCTTTTGCTTTCCATTTGCTCAAATAATTGTTTTTTTTTTGTTCATGCAAAATGCCACTTTATTTTCTTTCAAATAAATGTCCAAAATTTATAGATTTTTACAATCTTCGTTGTGGCTGACGCAGGTTCTGAACGAGCTTTGTGATATGATCATGGAGCCGCTTAGAGATCGTGTTGTTACTGGGCTCCTTCAGGCATCCATAGTAAGTCCATTCTTGATACAGTTTTTAAGTTGATATTTTGATATATTCAAATACTTTGTTATGTTAAGGATGGTTTGGTTAGAGTACTGCTTGATGGGGGTCCTTCACGTGTCTTTCTCGCTGCTGATGCCAAGCTTTTAGAGGATGACCTTCAAATATTGAAGGTATAGGCTATCTGCATCACAATTATACTTCGAATATTGTGGTAACGGCTTGATGTACACTAATTTCTACTGTCAATGTGTGTATGCTTGTTTTGTCTAAAATTGAATTTATACTTCTTGTAGAATGGTAATGTTTTAATAGATCACAATGGAGAAAAATGATTCATGTAGCCGACCCCACATAGTGGGATAAAATCTTGATGTTGTTGTTGTTGTAGAATGGTAATGTTTCTTTGTATGTGTTTCTTGCGACTATGCATCCTCTTCAGAGAAGAATGCTAGTTCTCGCCTCGATTTTGGTTGCATGACTGTGGCCCTCAAACTTGGTCAAAGTTGTTCCTTTCATTTAATATAGGAAATCTCTCATGCATAAAAAAATTCAGTTTCATGGTGAATCAGTGATGTAATTGTAGGAGACAACCGCATATCAAAATGCTAGTGATCACATTTTTGCTCATTTAAGCATATGTACCTTGATTTTGATTTGCAGATTTAAAAATTGGAACCATAAAATTGTTCTAACAGCCCTTGTACTAATATTCATCTACAAAGATAAAAAATCCTTCATCATATAATATTAGCCGTCCTTTTGAATAATGTTTGAGGCACTCTTAAAAAAAAAATGTTTGATGCACTCTTTGCCTGATCAAGTGATGGGAAGAAGCTGCTGAAATCATGTTGACTGCCATTTTTTAAGGTTTTGAGTAGTATGCATTATATTGATCTTGTGCTCAATAGCCTCAGAATTAGTAATCACAACTTGGAGGAGAGTGGAATTTTCTCTCGTTAGAGGAGACTGGTTTATCCCCATATGTTGATATACCGTTACTCTATCTGATGATCAGGCTTTGTAGAAAAGTGCTGCTATTAGTTTTGTTAGTCTTTGTTATTACCATCCTTACATCATCTAATTGGAACTTTCTTTTCTGAGTCCTTTCTCTGCCCATTAAATTAAGTTTAATTGAAATCTTGCATGTGGTTCATCTGCCATGTCAATTTTCATGTATATTTAGTGTTGAAAATTATTATGATTCCTTCTTCTTTACTATCTGTTCCTGTTTAATGTTGCATTTTTTAGGCTTGGTGAGTCGATTATTATAGAAATTCTTATGTCTGATTAGTTATTTTGACTTAGTACCATATTGTTATGAAACTTACGCCAACTAATTTGTGGTCATTTTATAAAATCCATCATCTCATTCATTACTGTTTTAGGTGTTTTCATTATGATTTAATGCAATTATCAAACATCCAGTGATCACTCGGGCTCGAATCCCCTAACTTTCCAAAAAAAAACCCAGTGAGTTAAATTTTTTGGGATTGGTTTTCTTTAATTAGTTTTGACAGCCCATCATTCTCTCAACGGCACTGCTGTCACACTTGTCACAGCTTCATTGAAGTTGGCTTTTGTGAATTATTTTCTTCTTTTCAATCCAGCTTAGATCTATTTTCTATGTTTTGATTTTTCTCCAAGAGAATAATCAAAGAATTAATGCGTTTGGTTTACTTGTTTGCTTGGCCTCTTACTGATGTAACTTTCAAACCTCATCCGCTAACTTTCCCACCCGTAGACCCTAAAAACATTTAAATAACGACTGTGCTTGGTTTGTTTGTTTACCAGGCCGCCTCTTCTGTTCATTCTCCAAACTAATTATCCCAAAATAACCCACTGTTTAGGGAGGAGGAAACCCTCTTTCCATGGTGTAAATGTTATGTTTATTTGATCCTTACTGCACCACGTTGAATTTATTGTTGTAAAGTTAAATAATTGGAAATGGAAAATTGTAATACAAAATTTAGATAATCAAGATTGATTTAATTGCAGGAATTAAAATAGCATATTAACTTGAGAATATTCTCATGAATTACAGGAGTTCTTCATATCTGGCGGAGACGGGTTACCTAGAGGAACTGTTGAAAATCTTGTGGCTCGTGTTCGCCCAATAATTAATTTGATTAGCTTGGAGGTATGGTGTCCTTGTTGCATTCTTAATAATTGTGGAATAGTACAATGGTTGCAGAACATTTTTATAAGATGTTGATAAAACTTGCAAATTAATTGCTAAATAACTTTGCTTTTGGTAATGAGAAATCCCAAGTTTGTTACATTTTGTTACTTTTTCCTCTTTTCACAATCATTGTAACAAGGTAATGTATCCATAGCACACCAGATTCTCAAACAATAGTGGCATACAACCAAAATCATCTGTCATAAACTTTCAAAAAAAAAAAAAATCATCTGTCATAAAAATCTTCCACTCAGCCAACCTTACCCATTATTTCATTGTAATTAGATAAAGCTATCCATAGCCAACGGGAGTGCATCCCTTCATCTTCTATGTTAGATAAACAAATTTAATTTCTACTTAACCCCTCTCTGGCCAATGCTTGCTTGCTAGTAACAGCCATTCTAGTTGAGTTATGCTGATGGGAATGACCTTATCAGTATATTCAACTGTCAACTTGGCTATAATACTTCCATCAATAGTTGATTGGAATCTCTATCTTAATCTCTTGGGAGTTATATAAGCAAAAATACTTTTACTCGGCAAGTCATGAGCTTAGAGGAGCTTTGCTTGATAGGTCGAGCACAATGAACGCACTTGTTGAGAGGATCTTAGTATTATGGTTGGTTATGCCTTACATTAGAGCAGAGGGGACCTTTAGCTCATTGAAATAGATTGTAATGGCCTTGCTAGAAAAAAAACATCCCTACTTGTTGAACTTAGTTGGCTTATGTAAGAGCCCTCTTTCACAGCACACACCACGCTACCCCATGGCACCTCCCCGACCAAAAAAAAAAAAAAAAAAACCGCACCCCAATCTCGCCACCTACACCCTCCAAGTTTTATTCGATAAAATGAGTATCTTTTGGTGGTCCTCATCTTTTTTTCTCAACACTCCATGTGGATTTTGTCACGATGAGCTAAGTGGTTGGGCTGGTTGGTCTTACCACGATGCATGCAGAAGATAGTTTTTTGGAAAGCTTGCATGAAAGCCATATAATGAGAAAAGCAAGGTTTAAAATTGCGTAATTGAGTATTGAGGCGTTTTTCATTCGTGAGGCGAGGTGTAAGCGTCAAGGTGTTTTGAGGTGTAAGTCTCAAAATCTAAAAATTACGTAAAGTGAAAATAAAAGTTAAAAGTGATTTTTATATAATATCCAAATAATATGTTAAAGGATGACATCTTAACTTTCTATTGAATTATGAAATAATAAATTTACATACATACGAAACAAAAAATTGCATAAGATGTAAAGTGGTAAGTGATAAATTATATGAAATAGAATTAAAATCCAAATATTACATGAACAAAACAACATAAAATATATGAATTGCATAAAAGTGTCATATAATATTAAGTTTAGCTCTAATATTTTTTTCTCAGTTGTCTGCTCATTTAAGTTTAATTTCTAAATAAAGTTGAAATAATTGGCAACAACTCACAAATCTTATGTACTATCATTACTAAGGGGATTTTTATTTGAGTCGTTGTTATAACAAATTGGTATCTTCCTTGACTCAACCTGTAGGGTCCGATACCTCTCAATCTGCTTCTCCTTCATTTATTTCAATTATCTTCATATTTCATAAATGTTTGTTGTCAACATAAAGATAAGAGTAATTCTCCAAAAAAAATTAGAGGAGATGGTGGCTGCGTGCAGCTTTCAAGTGATCCCCTGCAGCGGCTACGAAAGTGGTGGCTGTGCTGAATGCATTGGGCTGGAGGTCGAGGTAGTTAAGAGGAAGTTGCTGCGACTTGGGGGTACAAGAAGACATGATTTTTTTGAGGCTTTTGTATAAGATTTGGGTAAGTTTTAAATAAAAATAATACATAAATAGAATGAGGCATACGCCTCAAGGCGAGCCTGAGCCAAGATGAGGTGTAAGCCTCATAAAAAAGCTCGAGGCTTAAGCCTTGAGGTATTTTTCACTGGAATTGTGCTGAGGTGAGCCTCATATTGCACAATTTTAAGCAATGGAGAAAAGAACTTATTGGTCATCCATGACAATCATGTGAGCAAAGAAGATTTAATGGGTTGGCCAGAAACCAGCTGCAGGTCCCAAAGGTTAATTGACATATTGTTCAGCCCAATCCAGCAGGTGTTTGTAGCACTTTCCCACTGCTTAGCTAGTGCCTACAACCAGGAGTATGAAAGTCGTCTGTAATCAAACAATGAAGCGTAGATGGCTCTGTAAACTCCTACCCGCTTGAGCACCTCCTGATGTGCTCTCAGAATATGTTGGGCCCGACAATCATAGCTCTTCAGCAGCCGGAAAGGGCTACCAAATACAAAATCATATCGTTGTTCTTTAATTTCATGGTGTGACAAGCTGTAACTCAACAATGTAATAATGCCGGTGTGCTCTGCAAAATCTGCCATAGACTGTAACACATCTTGCTCTCTATAACTCAATCCTTTGACAATTCGATCCAACAAACTACCGTCACTGTGACGAAGCTTGAGGGTGATCACTCAATCTGTAGGGTCATGTCCTATAGGAAGCTCTGACTCATAGGATAATAATGATACGCCGTTCGATCAAATAGGTGGGCCCATGGGGCCCACCGTGGCTTCTCCTTACTCCCAGCGGGTTTGCCCGCCTCCCCTTCTCCGCCCGTAGACCCGCACGAGTCCAGGGAGATGGACCAGGTGAACCGATCCATCAATACCGCCATCTAGAAGATCAACCTTGTCCTCAAGGTTGAAGTCTGGAAATTGCTCCCGCATGGCTTCGTATATCTCCCAAGTAGCCTCATGTGTCGGTAAGTCCTTCCACTCGATGAGCACCTCCCTCTTGCCTTGATCATTCTTCCTCACTTCCTTCACCTGTAATGGCTCTAGTAAGAATTGCATATCTTTTGTGAGGCCCTGGGGTATAGTAGGAGTGGCCACAGTATGATCCCCTATGCACTTCCTCAATAGTGATGCATGGAATACAGGGTGGATGGAGGAATGAGGAGGCAACTTGAGACGGTAGGCCACCATCCCAACTTTCCCTTCAATCTCAAAAGGCCCATAGTATCGTGGAGAGAGCTTCTCACTCCTTTTGCTAGCTAAAGTCTTCTGTCGGTAAGGTCGTAGCTTCAGGTACACCCTCTCTCCCACCTCAAATGTCACATCCTTGCGGTGAGCATCCGCCTTGGTCTTCATGATCTGCTGGGCTCTCAATAGGTGTTCCCTCAACTCTCCTACACCTTATCCCTCTCCTGCAAGTATTGATCCACTAGATATACAGTGGTCGTCCCCTTCTGATAATTCACCAACGGTGGTGGATCCCTCCCATAAAGAATCCTGAAAGATGTGAACTGAGATGTGGTATGGTAGCAAGTGTTGTACCAATATTCTGCCCATGACAGTCATTTGACCCACAGCTTAGGTGATGTAGTGGATCGTCAGAAGATACGACCTGCAAGAAGGATTTGGGTTTTCCCAATTCAATGTCTTTTCCTTTTACAAAATCTGCTATTTATAAAGTAAAAAAGAGCATTCTAGAAGCTCATTCTAACAAACTAGATAAGGTGTCCTAGGGAACACCAAAAGCATAAAATGCACCGCATCATTCTCCTCTTGCGTAAAAAGAGCTCGACTTCGTTCGAGGCTCGTTAATTAGAAGGGAGGTAAGGTGGCAAACAAATTCTAGGATTGAAGACTTTGTTCTCAATATTTCTCTCCTCTGGAGTAGTCTTTTGGAAATCCACAAAACTTTCCAATAATATCATGTTGGAAGAAGCAGGATTAGTACTTCCTCCAAGGAAATCTGGGCGGGCAGACGCAGGGGTAGTAATGTATTGCTGAAAGAGGTTCCGAGTAACATCTGAGTTGCTCTCCGAAGTGTAAGTCGGCCGAACTTTCTCCCCTCATGCAGGAAGTTCTCTGGAAATGATGGCCTTCAGCTCGGCTGCGTACTTCTTCTCATATTCAGCAAACTTTGCATTCCACTCTGCTTCAAGAGAAGCACCTTCAGGGACATGGTGGCTCCAATGGCCTTTCACATTAAAGTTTTTGGATACACAAATCCACAATTTAGGATCAAATTCCTCTGTCATTTCATCTTCATACACATGTTGCAAGAGATTTGCTTTTCCCTTACCACCATGCTCCACTATAGCTAGAAGAGAAATGTTCCTGTACAAATCAGTTCCATCCTCCATGTTAAGTGCAATCACATCTTGATAGGGCCTGCTGCTATCCATAAGAAGATCTAATGCAAAATATTCAACGGAGAGCTGAGTGTTATGCTTCATTGCCTGGCCATAAAGAGTTTGTAATAATGCATGGCCAATAGCTACTCTAAGCCCAGAATATGTGTGATCAACAGTGGTGTAAGAGGACTTAGCTGAAACTTTATCAAGTTTTTGCACAACCTCCTCTAGCCTCTTCAAATTTGGTTCAGATTCTTTAGCAACATTTCGTCGAACAGCTTGGGGGCGTTGCGTTGGATCAGCCTTGTCACTAGAATTTATACTAGGCATTTTCACACATGTTGAAGTGGTCAATGCTGCAAAGTCAAAAGAGGGCTGGGAAGCAGAACTCCCAAAGAAAGAGCAGGTAGCAAGTTTAGAGCAGAGGAAAAGGACATAGCACTTCCAAATGAGAATGAATATGTTGAAGATGACGGTAACTGATTGGGATAGGTTGCGGTGCCGTTTAGGCCAAGACTCTCAAGAACGATGCAAGTAACTCTGCCATCGGAGGAGCAGGATACGCCGGGCCACCTGCATTGACCAGATGTTGAATGGTTGCTGGCGGAAAAGAAACTCAGGCGGATACCGACGGGGTCGACTGGGGATTTGAGGGATAGCAGCGCAGAGGCGTTGGCTTCGAGTCTTGCTCGGCGGACGATTCACTCTTACTTGCCAATGCGACGACAGCAGAGCCGGTGGCCCTCTCCACCCTTCCAGATAAGGATGCGACAGAAGCCGATGCAGAGAGCGGTGATGCTCTGGCTGAAGGCAAGAC